TCAAAACTCCACCACTGCTCTCGTTTATCTGTCCCCGGGGCGGCAGCACTGACTGCAGGAACAATGTCACAAACTTCAAATGGGTTTATAGTGGTGGAGACTTCGGTGAGGACGAAGCGGAGAGTTTAATGATGTGACGAAGAAAAACATCAGCTTTTGTTCCTGAACCTTAAAGCGAAACCAGCTGATTGCAGCTGGACAGGAAGCTGCAAAACAAGGCAGAAGGTTAGAGGACGTGAATAAAACTGTAATAAAGAAGAAGTGAGATCCAAGTATATTTTATCATCGTATGAAAAACTCAGGAGCTGAAATATCCTGCTTTTATTGAGGGGATTCTTTATTTTAGTATGTTTTATTTGCACTGTTCATACTTTGTATTGTAACTTCTGCACAGCATTTTCCCTGGGATAAACACACTATCTCATCTTACCTGACTTTATCTTATATTATCTTACAGCTTTACCTTGGCAGATAATATCTCGTCAGCAAGCACAAACCCTGTTCTCCTTTTCTTTTTTGCGTCTTTTTCTGAAGATGTGAGCGTCGGATCTCACAGCAGTCGTGTAAACTGCAAGAGATGCACATGTAGTGTCGGCTTACGAGATTGTCGTGACTCAAAACAGCTGATGTACTGAGTGGTCATCAATGTGACTTTTGGACAAATGAAAAAGAGGTGAGAGAGTGAAAAATGAGGAAGAAGAGTTGGGGTTACAACAGAGCATGAGGATGAAGAGGAAGATAAATGGCACACAAACCACACAGACCTGCCTCACCCTGACTTTTAGTCCCTACTGTGGAATAAACTCCAAGAATACTGCATACTACATTACCCATAATGCAACTTGGAAGTGTCTTTCAGTAGACCTTTCCTCCCTGGTCTTTCAAACATCTGCACCTCCACTTTGTAACGCAGATTCTCTGATATAAATTAGTGTAAAAACCAAGCAGCAACCTCTGTGGCTAAAAAATGAAGCCAAAAGCTGCAGTTCCTCTAATGTCCACTTGAGGCTGGCTCCAGAAGTGAGTCAGTCCCCGCAGACCTCCATGTTAGAACGCCCAACGTTACAGCAGAAATTAACATGTTTACAGCCTGGGACGAAAAAACAGTTTTGGTCTCTGGAGCTAATTTGATCATTCGTGACAACTGTACGGGGGAGAATTTTTGTAGAACTCACTCATTTAAATATTCTAAAGGTTTAAAGTTAGGTATAATTAAAGGCATAGCTTCTTTGAGTGACAGGTGGGGACTGTCTGTTGAGAAGCCGCTACCATGGCAGCAATGTTAATTACTTAACTGTTGCATAAACCCCTAGATTCACGGAGTATAGGTGTAGCTGTAGTTGTCTCTATGGACAGAATCACATTTACAATAACTTCCAGGGAGGAGACTACGTTACGTACATGAAGTGAAACTGCTGAGCAAACGCTGCCTCAATTGATTGTTTTTTGATTCAAGCACAATGGCCGACTGACAAAGTTTGGAGACAAGTGAAAAACAGCCTAGCAAAAGAAAAGGAGCTCCTCTGTGTGAGGAGGCAAAGAAGAGCAAAAAGGAGAGTGATAAAAGAAGAGGAAAAACAAGAGTAAACCTCAGTCAGGCGTTCAAGAGATGGAGGGAGCTCCGTGACCAAAGAGGCTTCAAAACCCATGTCCAGCTAGCTTTCTTTCTAATGGATCAGTAAGTAACACGGCTAAATGTTAGCTAGACCAGAGAGGACTGTACTGTACTGGCTGCTAGTTCATTCCTAGCTGGCCAGCATCGCAAATCGCCGCAACCAGGGAGCGGGTAGCGAGTGTTGGTCGGCTGACATCCTGGTTGCCATTCTACGGCAGCCCTCGGACAGTGATACCCCCCTCCCTTCCTTCTGTTCTCTTCTCACGGAGGCAGCTATCCACGGACATCGCCCAGCTAAGTTACGCCCAGCTAAGTGAACACTGGACTTTGTTTCCCATTCAATTTGAGCTCCAACCGGCCGCATGGTTTCCATACGGTAGCGTTTATTCTAGAATGGGGACTGTTTACATGTGCATATTGGTATAATTCCACTGTGTCTACTGTTGTTTGTACTGATACTGTACATATTGGTATCATTTACTGTGAGCTGTTTGTACTGGTACTGTGCATTCTGCTATAATTATTTGCATTACTATTTGTTTTTTCTTCAGATTAATCTGATAATTGTTGCTCGGTCTCTTTACTCATTTATTTAGTAGAGTGTCCACACACCTTCTCATTCTACATATACATAGAGGTATACTGGTGGCTTTACAGCCTACATTTGATTTAATTTAGAGAGTTTAATAGAGTCATATTATTGATTATCTCTGATCCCGACGGTCAATTTGGTCGTTGCGACAGTGTGATGCAACACCACTGACGCTAGGTGGCGCCAAGCTAAAAAAAAAAAAAAAAAAAAGAATCCTGCGTACACATATTGACTTAACAGCAGTACATTATTTAGCTTCCATGCTGGTAGATTTAGTTTATCAAAGATGCTAGTAAAGCAACACATCCTATGAACTGAGCACAGCCGCACCACCATGTTTAATTATTTATCTTAAATGTTAAAGTTATGGCTTTTACATATCTCCACAACTGATAGCAATTGCCAGTTGACTACCTGGAAGTAATTGTTGTTGTTTGTGTGATGTCACGCTAATTTGGTCTATTTTAGTGTGTTTTTAGTTCATAAAGGTTAATTGTAACAATTTGGTCACTGTAAAAAGTCTTGTTCAGCATCTGGTTGTAATGAAAGACCCATTAAGGAGTCAGATTTTCAGCTCCTCTGATGAGAACATTTTGTTTTAATGGTTTTAAGCCCTTTATTTGCTAGCGAAAATTAGCATTAGCATTGCTATCACAGTTAACAACTGACTGTAAATGCACAGTGCTCTCCAAGTTAGCAGCAAGAGTTCAGGTTAGTTCCACCCCCTCATCCAAATATGGCTACGTTTGGCTGCAAAAATCCAAGATGGTGATGCTCAAATCTACAAACTGATGGGTGACATCACGATGGCTGTGTCCTTTATTTTTACACAGTCTGTAGTAAAAAGTCGTGCACCAACAACAAAAATCAAAGTGGCACTCCAAAGATCTGACAGGTTTACTGGTCAAAATTTAAAGTGTATCCCATCTACTGCATTATGGGAAATGTAGGATCCAGCATTTCTGGAGTTTGACCCACACTGGGGACTAAAACTAGGGTTAAGACAGGCCAGTCTTTTTGTCTTTTATTCTTCTTTCATGTTGTAGCTCCAACTCTTCTTGTTTGTTTTTCCACAGTCTCCCATAATGGCCCCTCTTCTTCTTTCTTCAAGTCTTTCTCATCATCCTCTTGCTGCTTCTCCTCATCTTCTTCATCTGCTGGCTGACAAGACAAAATAAAGCAGATCAGAAATACATGTCTCTGGAAAGAGATTAACTCAGCTCAGCCCAGGGTCCATTTATTTTTCATTCGCTTTTTGGGTTGTTGTTTTTTTTTAGAAACATTTCAGACTCAGTGTGTGATTAAATAGTTCCCTCCAGTGAATATTTTTTTTGCAGTTGATGCTGCATGAAGGAATCATTAGTGAGATGTTTGAGATAATTTGACAGTATTTAGTATCTGGCAGCATTAATAAACCCACTGACCTTTGTTTTAGCGACTGCAGAGGAAGGTTTAATAATCTCTGTGGTGACACATCACAGCGGTGGCGGGAAGATAAGATCAAGACAAACAGTGAAGATAATTAAAACATTACAGCAGAGACATAATGGGAAGAATAATGGCACAGTCAACAGATAAACAGGAGTGTAGATGAAGCCAGCTCATTAACAGATTTGCAGATAGAAGCAGATGTGTTAACACGTTCACTGCCAGATGTTCAGGCTGCTGAACAAACCAGCAGAGCTTCACATTGAGGATGAATGTCAGCAGAAATCTGAGGGAAAGTTCACTGAAAAAAACGGCAGACGATGCTAAAAATATCAGCTAAAAAAGAAGCTTCCTGTTTGATGACATCCTGGACCCTATTTTCCCATGTTTTTGTGCCAAAGTGACCAACGGCATCGACAATTTTAGAAACTGGTCCAGTATTGAGCAACACCTGAAGATGGCAGCAGCTCAACTTGAGGCATGTTCTCACAGTCAGTTTACGTTCATTAAAGTGGCTCAGATTACTTTTTGAAGTGTCTGACAACATTACAGAAAGGATCCCTACAGAAATAAACCTTTTTGTTTTACCAGAAACAGCTCTGAAATTGACCTTTCGCTAAGCTCCGCCCCTTTGTGATGGTCCAACAAGCTGTCAGAGTAAGCGTGGAGCCCACACTGTAACTAACTGCACTCCCTGAAGAAATATTAATATCATATATTTGGGAAAACGAAACAGTGATCCCAGAGAGAAGCAGACAGAGGGGTCTACAGTCTGTGTTTGAAGGATATATCCAGGATGTCAAACTGACTCAGCAGCAACAACAGGTTAAAAAGACAAAGATAGTTAGAAGCTAAAGCCGAACTATAGGCTACAGATCACAGTGTAAAAGTGAACCACAACATCACTGCTGATCGCCACACAAGACAATGAATATAAAGGGAAACTTTGCTGATACTGAACCAGCTGTGTGGCATCACAGTGTGTGCAGATGAACAGTGTTTGGCTTCACCCCAGTGCTGCTGCCAGCACCTGGACCTCTGTCGCTGGACAGGCAGGGATACATTTGGGTGATGGTACTTGGTATTTATATTTAAATAGGATTTTAAATGCAGAATTTTTCCCTGTAATAAAGTGCTTTCACATTGTTTCATTGATATGTTTACCTAAGTGAAGGATCTGAATATGTCTTGCGTCACTGCTGACGCCTCACTGATCGCTGTTGCATGTCACACAGGTCAGGTTGGTTGCAGTCCAACATGAATTTATGGCTCTTTGATCGACTAATCTGACACAATGACCGCCTCGAAGTAAAAACTGATCCTTTAATCCTGCTTTTAAATATTCACTCTTTCTTTTTCTCTCAGGTGGGGTTTGCATCGCTCAGTCTCTGAAGATTCCTCGGGAGCCGAGACCCTTAGAGTTTGACAAGATCGTCTTGCGTCTGCTGGAGACGCCCAATGCCCGCGCTGTCATCATGTTCGCAAATGAGGACGACATCAGGTAAAAACACGCAGACCAAGACACGAGGTTAATTCTGTAAACCAAGGAGAGGATTAGTTCAGCAACTACAGTAATGTTGGGGTTGCTTTAGGTGGTGTCCACTGGTTGTTTTAACCAATCAGATCTTTTTAAAGGAATTTTAAGTCTCTACACACATAAATTGTTTCAAGAACAAACTGATTAGTGCACCAGCAGGTAAAAGCAGGGTGAAATCATACATGAGCTGCTATTATGATGACATTATAAACTAAAGTCCCTGTAAGAAGTGTTTGAGGCTCGTCTGAGATTTAACTTTATTTTTAGCGATGGGATGGCAACGTTTTCAGTTTCATCACTTAACAACTGTCACATGGATGCCCTGACGTTTTCTTCAGACATTCATGATCCTCAGAGGTTGAATCCTACTGACGTTGGTGATCTCTTGACATTTCCTCTGGCGCCACCATGAGGTTGATATTTCTGGTTTGAATGAATATTAATGTCTTTGGTGGTACCTTGTTTTCATGTTGCACCATCATCATCTCAAAATCTTAGTTAACAGCTGCTATAATGTTGCAACAACTGGTATTGATTTCACATTGAGCTTCATCATGGCGCACTGTGCTCCTGTGACACTAATTGTAGCAGAAACGACCACAGAAGCTGTTTTAAATTTTGCTTATGTGTCTGTATGTCTGTGGACAGATTTTGGGATAGTGTCATAACTGTGCAAGATGCAGTCAAGAAACTTTACAGATGTGTAGTTGAGTCCAAAATGAAAGCTGAGTTTGCAATAGGTGTTGTCTGAGCAAGGGAGCCAGAAGTAAGGGGGCAGGAAGTAGAAAAGGGGCCCCCTTCACTTCACACCTCTGGCCAACCCGGTCTCACTCTGAAGTCGTCGAAATCTGGGACTTGGGCAGTGACTTCCGGCATCAGACACCAACGAAAAAAGACGTCCTTTCACGTCGGCATGATATGTGGCCACTCACTGTTGTTATTTAAAGGCGTCAGGAGGAATGCAGCGGGACAACAACGAAAGTTAAGGTGGTGGAAGTCCAAGTAGGTCAGGGGTCGATGGTGGGCAACAACCATCACTTCCTGTAAATTTGTAAAGCCAAACCCTGTTCATTTTTTCTAAACCCAACAACATGCATTTGTTGCTGAAGGAAAAAAAAGTAAATTTGCAGTGTTGTACCGACGTAGTGCTTTTATTTTGAAAGAGACTGTATGCAAACTGTACATTTCCTGTGAAAACAGAAGTGTATTTTGAAAACAGACAAAACATGTAACAGGCTGAAGTTGACACGGCGTCCCAGAACGTCAACAAGCAACACACCCAGGGTACCTTGGACGTCATATCTCGGCACGTATGGTCCATGATGTTGCGGACCACTGTAGCCAATCAGCCGAACCATTAAAACCACTGACAGGTGAAGTGAATAACATTGATCATCTTGTTACAATGCAATGCTCTGCTGGTAAACCTTTGGTTCTGGTGTTCATAAATGCCAGGACACCGCACCATGTCACACTGTTCAGGAATGGCCCGAGGAACGTGACAAAGAGCTCAAGGCCCCGCCTGGCCTCCAATTATTATAATCAAGCATCTGTAGGACATGCCGATACCTCAGAGGTACCCTCGATCCACGGTGAGGCCTCCTTGGATCAGACTTGGCTCTGACCTGTGGAGGTATGGACACTCCATCAGATTGGGATTTGGGGAATTTTGAGGCCATGTTGACGCCTTGAACTTTTTGTCCCATTCCTCGGGCCATTCCTGAGCCCCTTTGGCAATGGCACTGGGGAGTGTGGTTGACATGAGGGGGGGTACCTGGTCCACATGGTGTTTGGGAATGCCAGGACCAAAGCTTTCACAGCAGAACAATGCACTGTAACATGATCAAGGTTATTAATTTCATCTGTTGGCATTATATATATATATATATACATATATATATATATATATATATATAAACTGAAAATAATCTGTAAATAATCTTCTAAAGGTTTCTGTCTGCAGTGAATACAAACTACTAACGCCCACGTCCCCTGAGTCCATCTGAAATTACTCTCCAATATAACATAGACACACACACACACACACACACACACACATTTACTGTGTGACTTCAGTAGAAACACACATACGTTCTGTATCTGTATGTTCTCAATGTATTTAATCAGTTCATCCTCCATCTGTTGAGTGCAGATTAAGATAACAAGCTTCCAATTATCTGAGTGAGCTGAGAGCCTCTCACACACACACACACACACAAACACACACACACACAATATCAGTGTAACAGCTGATGTTAATCTGCAGCTCTGAATCACACAGAGAGTATTCACTCATCTTCAGAGAAGAAGAGGGAGGAGGAGGAGGAGGAGATGGATGAAGATGTGAAGAATCTTCTCATGTTTGATCTTTAAGTTAATTTAATGATTTAATGAAAACTAACATGACTCACAACATCATCAGGTCAACAATCAGCACCTGCAGAGAGAAACAACATCCAGCCTCAGCTGTACTTTGTGCTCAGAGCTAATGTTAGCATGCTAACACTAAACCAAAATGGTGGATATGATAAAGTTCTTCACCTCCTCATTTCCTTCTCTTTCCTACCTCCCTTTTTTCTCCACCTGTCCCTATTTTCCTTCACTAACTGGTCTTTCACTTTTCAACCTCCTCTGTCCTCCCTCTGTTTCTATCTGTCCCTTTCCTCCTCTTCTTCCTTTCTCCTTTGCTTTCTTTGCCTCCTTCTTCCCTTCACTACTTATCCTTCTCTTTAATATATCCTCCATCCACCTTCTGTTTCTTCCTTTCTTCTCTACCTTCTCTTTCCTTCCTTTCTGTCTCCTTCATTCTTCATCCGCCTTCCCTCCTCTGTCTCCTCCTTTCCTTCTCCACCTCCCTTCTCCTTCCTCTTCCCACAGCTGTCTTTCTTTCCTTCTCTACCTCTCCTTCCCTCCTCCATCTCCTCCTTTCCTTCTCCCCATTCCCTCTCCTTCCCGTCCTTCCCTCCTTCCTCTGTTTCTTTCCTTCTCTAGCACCTTCTTCCTTCCTCTAAGCATTTCCTTCTCATTCTCCTCTCCCCCTTCCTCATCCTCACCTGCTAAACATTTATCTTCTATCTTGTTTCCTTCTCTGCCTCCTTCCTCCCTTGTCTGTCTCCTCCTTCCTGCCTCCATCTCATCCTTTCCTTCTCCACCTCCTCTCTCCCTCCTTCTCCTTCTATACTTGCTAAACAGTTATCTTTTATCTCCTCATTTCCTTCTCTACACCCCTACTCTCTTCTCTGTCTCCTCTTTCCTTCCTCTACCTCCTAATTGCCTTCTGTGGCTCCTTTCTTCCTCGTCTTCCTTCTGTCTCCTTCTTTTATTCTCTGCCTCCTTTTCCTTTCTCTATCTCTATCTCCTTCTTTCTTCATTCATCTTCTTCTTTCCTCCTCCACCTCCTCTCTCACTTCTCTACCTCATCTTCTATCTCCTTGTTCCCTTCTCTACCTCCTTTCTCCCTTTTCTGTCATCGCCTTTCCTTTCCTTTTCCTGCCTCTGTTTCCTTCTGTCCTTCTCTACCTTATCTTCCTTCATCTGTTTTTTCTTGACCTTCTTTCTCCTCTCTCTATCTCCCTATTTCTATTTCTATTCCTTTCCAGCTTCACCTCCTCTTTCCCTCCTCTTCCTTTCTCTGTTTCCTTCTTTCCTTCTCTGTCCCCTCCTCTACCTCCTCCTTACTTTCTGTATCTCCTCTGTATCTCAGATATCTGCTGTCTCCTCATTTCCTTCTCTGCCTTCCTCCTCCTTTCTCTATTTCCTTTTTCCTTATTTAATTTATTTCTTCCTCTCCTCCTCAACATCCTCTGTCCCTCCTCTACCTCCTTCTATACCTGCTTGTTAGCATTTAGTTCAAACTGTGAACTGTTGTTTCATAAAAAGTTTATGTTCAGGATGAGGTGACTCAACCGTCTCTCCTGTGACCCTCCGACAGGCGAATTCTCGATGCGGCAAAACGCAACAACCTGACGGGTCACTTCCTGTGGGTGGGCTCTGACAGCTGGGGCTCCAAGATCTCTCCAGTGGTCCAGCAGGAGCGGGTGGCCGAGGGCGCCATCACCATCCTCCCCAAGAGGGCGTCTGTGGACGGTGAGTCAGGAAACAGAGCACAGAGCCGCACAATGTGTAACAAAGCCCATCACCGTGACACCAACATTTCTTGTCTTCTTTCCGCAGCGTTCGACCGTTACTTCAAGAGCCGCTCGCTGTCCAACAACCGCAGGAACGTCTGGTTCGCCGAGTTCTGGGAGGAGAACTTTGTCTGCAAGCTGGGGATGCACGGCAAGAGGCCAGGCAGCCCCAAGAAATGTACAGGTAGGAGCTGCAGTTGAGGTCAAAGGTCAGCATGGACTTCATCATCCCAGAGAGGAAACTAGTTCTGTTACACAGCAGCAAAAACTTCCTCTGGTTAAATATTCAGCCCTCAAACCTCCATTTGTTCAGACCTATCATGTGGAGATTTAGCGACACGTTTCATGTGGATAGTCTGAAGGGACACGAGCTGAGGCTGTTACAGCAGCAGACTGAAGCTGATGGGTTTGGAAAGATATTTGCAGTTGTGTTCAGAGAGTGTGATTTGACCGGAACAACAACCAGGTGGCACTGCGGTGAGAAAAAGAACAAGATTTAAATATGGCATCATCTTGATTCCTGGATCACCTACATTTGCTGACAACCAAAAGTAATCAGAGGGGTTGTAATTTCCTGTAACCGCTCGATGTGTTCACTCATCTCCTGTGAACATCCACAGAACCCAAGAGACTGTCGGTGTGTTATCCAGGGTTAAGAGGGTCTGTTGTCTCTCCAAGCTGCTCCAACACTCGACCTCTCCTTCATTTATATTCATGAACTGGATTTTCTGACCAGTGCTGACTGCCAGTTAACAGGCTGGATAATCATTTTGGGGCCCGAGCTCTCAACCCTGTGACACATATCCTCCAGTCGGTAATTAATCCAGAATTCACTCAATCACGCTGAGTGTAACAATGAATATAAAGAAGTGTTTGTACTCACCATACGATACAGGAGATTATACTTGAGTGTCAGGGAAGAGCTGTGAGTTTACAGTCAGCTGGACGAGAAGAAGGTAGTGATCTGTTACCTTGAACCTTCAGCCAGAGAGCTGCAGATTTTAGACAGCCCCTCCAGGATGTTGTGATGTCAGGATTGCAACGATCCCTGTGGATTCTGTGTGGTGTTGTCCTATCACCACAACTTTTCGTCAAATTTGACCATTGTCATAGTTTCCCATTAGTTTCCCCAGTCATACAGTCCCCTGCGTAATGTCAGTAAACTTACTTCCTTGCTTCTAGTATGGGCCAAAAAATGGGCATCCTATCTTGGGCCCATTGGAGTAAAACCACCCATGTGGTCAACTAGCATGGGGCCATTACGGAAACCATGGACAATCCCATATATGGCCCATTTTCCAGCTCATTTATTACCCACATGGGTCCTGCATACATATGTTGGGTGGGGCATTGACTGGGGTGTAAATTACCAACTCTTGTGAACAATGCAACTATTTTTTACATTTTCACTTGCTCCCACAATTTCATTGCAAAGAAAATCAATCTTAAAACACAGGAACTAGGGACGGGCATTTTGAGTAACTTCCATATTCAAGTAGTGGCACTGAATTATTGTAGAGTGCTTGAGTATTTGCAAAAACAAAATCTAATTTAAGAATTGGAATGTAAATTGTCCAGCAGCAGAAAACAAGTTCAATTTGAAATTCCTTTATTGAACAACCAGGTTTCAATTTGTCTATTAAACCAATTGAAAGTTAACATGAGAAAAATCACCCACCTCTGTTGCTGCTGTTCATGTATAGGTTAACGGTCCCAACATACTTACACACCTCTGAATCAGCTCAACTGTGTCGTTAAACCCATTTATAACCATTTGGTAATGTTAGCAGGGATTCTGACAGCGAACCCTGTCAGTGTGGATGTGTGTGCAGGCGCACTCTCACCAACTGTTCCCCGGTGTGGAGGTCACACTGCTGCAGCAGTAGTGTCATGATTAACAGAGAGACCACCAGCCTGAAGCGTTGATACAAGGCAGGATGGATCCATGCTTCCGTCTGAATGTGGTTTTTCCAATCTTCTATTGTCCAGTTTTGGTGAATTGTAGCCTCAGTTTCCTGTTGTTAGCTGACAGGAGTGGCACCTGGTGTGGTCTTCTGCTGCTGTAGCCCATCTGCTTCAAGGTTGGACAAGGTGTTGTTGCACCAACAACCATGCCACGTTCAAAGTCACTTAAACACCTTTCTTCCTCGTTCTGATGCTCCGTTTGAACTTCAGCAGCTCGTCTTCACCATGTCTACATGCCTGAATGCACTGAGTTGCTGTCACGTGATTGGCTGATCAGCTCTTTGTGTTAACAAGCAGTTGTACTTGTGTACCTATTCCTTTAATTGAAGCGTCTTTGAATCCAGAATGTTTCCTTAGATAACCTTTAAAATGGTTTGATGTTACGATTATCCGTCTTCCTAGTTTCCTCCATTTTCCATCAGCAAATAAAACAGCAGTCTGTTTTACTTATACACTGATACAGATCTGAATATTCCCATGTTTATACAGGAGTTTAAATTGCCAATTAAAACATTACACATCAGAAACAGAAAGTGGAAAGCCAGGGTTGGAGAGATGCAGAGCATTACATGCATCCGAGTTATCGGATTCATGCAGGCAGGTAAAGAAAACCATTTCTATCCTGCAGAGGACTGAATATTATTAATCCAGATGGGCGGATGAGTCCTTGAGAATTATTTAAGTATGTTCACTGAACCTCTGTTTCTTTAAAGCACATCAGGGATTTATAATTCAGAAGAACTGATGTTTAACTCTGTGATTCACATGTAATGAGAATAACTGAAGTGTATAAACTGGGGTTCAGGAGAAAATGATCTGCTGCTCTGATTCTTGTGTTTCCTACATTTGAACAAAAAGTGTCTTCCTCCTCTTCCAACCTTGTTTAAAGTCATCGTGGATTTAAATGAAAGCAGATGTAAATTAGAAGCTGTTGAGTGTGAATTCTTCTCCTCTCTGATCACGTCCAGCTCTCGCCTGCTGAGTCTCTCAGTGCTGACTGCAGAGACCCTGCAGCAGGATGTAATCCTCTCTGATTCAGGAGGACTTTCTTTGTAGAACAGGAGGCCACTGTGGGCCAAATCCTTTACAAACATGTCCGACACACCAGACGGGATTTGGGGAAGGTGTTTGGGTAAATACAGGCTTGCGGATAGAAGCGAAACAGCAGAACAACGGCGTCAGCGAGAATACGCTGCTCCGTCCGAGCTGCTGAGTCTTTACCTGAGCTCAGTGGATGGCTTTGATCGGGCCCGCTGCTGTCAGGACGCAGCTCTGCACTGACTGTGTTGGAGGCTCCGGATCTGCAGCAGAGTCATCACACAAACAGACAAACTGCTGAGTCGGCAGGTCAGCGTCCACCTATGTGTGTGTGTGTGTGTGTGTGTGTGTGTGTGTGCTGGTATGCATGCAGACACAGATGTTTCTGTCGTTGCAGCTTTTTGTTCAGAGCTGTAGGCGGTGTGAGCTCAGCAGTGGTGGAAGAAGAAGTGCTCAGAGCCTGCACTTAAAGGGAAATTTCGGTTTATTTCAACCTGTCTCCTATCATCCTAAATTTGTTTCAAGTGACTAGTGACATAAAAATAATAGTTAGCATGTTAGCCGTTAGCCTAGATACAGCCGGGGCGCATAGTAGCGTCAGACCTGTTAAACCGTAAGTGAACGGGCAACCTTCAAGTGCAAAGTTAGTCCACTAAACAAGCTTTTTTTCCACAAAGACCTCCTCATATCGTTAGGATAAATGTCAGAGAACATATAGAAAACGACATGTAAACGTTACCGGTGGAAAGCAGAGCTAAATGGTAAACAAACATGGCAGCACACCGGTAAGGTAAGACAACACGTTTACATGTCGTTTTCTATATGTTCTCTGACATTTATCCTAACGATATGAGGCGGTCTTTGTGGAAAAAAAGCTTGTTTAGTGGACTAACTTTACACTTGAAGGTTGCCCGTTCACTTACGTTTTAACAGGTCTGACTCTACTATGCGCCCCGGCTGTATCTAGGCTAACGGCTAATATGCTAACTATTATTTTTATGTCACTAGTCACTTGAAACAAATTTAGGACTATAGGAGACAGGTTGAAATAAACCGAAATTTCCCTTTAAAGTAAAAATAGAAAAACCACAGTCTAAAATACTCCACTACACGGAAGGGTCTGAATTCAAAATGTTACTTACGTAGAAGTATGTAAGTATTATCATCAAAACATACTTAACCAGTGGACTCCAGTGATGTCAGCGTTGTGTTGATATGAAGAGGCCCAGGTCGTGGATATCTTTGGAGGCGATCTCCGTTTATTCCTGACAACTCTGACAGCAAGAGGTAAAAACAAAATCTTCTGTCAATTATGACCATATGACAGCACTAAAACACGGACATTACTACGAGTGTTGAAATCTTATTGGATCCCGGCAGTGAAAAGAGTAGGGCTGTCAAGTTTGATTGGCTGATTGTTTGGTCATTATGCTTTCGTCTGACCAATTTGTCATTGGTCGGACATTGCTGTTGTTACTTTAAGGAGGTCATTCATGTGTCTAAAGCGTTTCTTTTCCCAGCTGAAGAATGTCAGCTGTTGTTGTTCAGCGCTTGGATTTGTCCTCTGTGATGGTTGGTCTTTGCTGTTTGTCCCGCCCCTTCTTCACTGTGATTGGACGGCTGGTGACAGTGACCCAAAGTTCAACATTTTTCAACTTTAATTTTTAATTGAAAACAAGATAAATAATCACACAAGACATTCAGTGTTGGATTTATCACCATTGATTTATTTTACAAAGTCTACAGAAAGACCCCACAGCTCAAGGCTGAATTTTCTTTCTTTTTTTTTTTTTTAATTTTTGCACACAGAAGAGATTTAAAAGAAAACCAAATTAAAGGATCAAAATAAATGTGTCAGGAGAGGTCAAGAAGCCAACAGGCCTATAGGAGGGACCTCACCTTTCTCAGAAGTCAAAAAACCAACGATTTACAATACTAAAAAGAAAAGAGAGGAAAAACAGAAGAAAAGAGAACAGACTACACAAAAAAAACAACAAAAATGTCAATTAAAACATCAAAAGCAAAAATCTACACAAATATCTAATTGAAAAACTATTTGAGATCACAAAAACCCAACAGAATTGACAAAAAAGGACATATAAAACATACATAAATGCAATGTAGTTAGGCATACACAATTAAACTTCATGAATTAGGTGAAATTACAATTTCCTTTTAAAA